AACGTGAAGTGCATATATATTCCATGGCAGTTTCACTTTGTTTTGCTTCACCCTATCCGCTCTTGTACCGGTTTCCATCCAACGATCTGCATGCCGCCTCTTGTTATTTCACTTACTGCTTGTCGTGTTCCCAATCATCCCACCATTCATCCGGTATAACAATTCTTGTTTTTCGTTCTTCTTCCACCGACTTGCTCTTTTAGAGCATTTCGTCATCCTCAACGTTTTCTTATCTGATACCTTGTCCACTCTGAGTTCCATTTGTGATTATGTTCACTGCGACCTTCAAATTTTTACCCCCTTTTGGGTCTCTCCCGTACAGAGGATTATGTTGTACATTTGATCATGCCAATGCATGCCTCACAGGGCTCCGTGAAATATACACTTATTATTACTATTATTATTATCGCTGGTGTAACCTGAGATAATTGACACCAAGCTTAAATATTCTATTGATTCCGAGACCTGGCAAACCTTGAATCATTTACTGAAAAGCCGCTTTTCCAAAAAACTCTTTCTGTAAAAAAGAACGACAGAAACGTAAATTCGAGGACTTACTCCAAGCCGCGGAGAAATTAGCATCCACGAAGGAACCTACCTTTACTCGGTTAACTCCACCCTTGAGTCTATCTGATCGAGTACTAACGGTACATGAAAAGAATGTTTTGAACAAAGGACTCAGCTACATTGTGAATGTTCCCTACTTAAAACCAATCGAAATCATCCCTTTACTCGAGGAACATTTGAACAAAATAACGGTAGAGGAAGCCAATAAAGTTCGTTCTCAGATTTCTCGAATACTACGAAATCAGAAGAAACAGGCATGCAACTTAACAAGACAGGAACGTCAGGTGATCAACGCTCTTTGGAAGGATAAAACCATAGTGATTACGAAAGCGGATAAGGGCAATTAAGTTCATGTGATGAACAAAACAGATTATGACCAACAAACGCGACGTCATCTTAAAGATAGTCCCTATAGTGAAATTCCTGAAAAACAGGCTTAAGCACTTCGAAATAAAACACAAGCAGCAACTACGAAATTACTCCGAGAATTGAAACCCAAACTTGATAAGTCTGTATGGTTTCAGTTGAATCCAAAAACAAACTGTGCTTCCCGATTTTATGGTGTACCCAAAATTCACAAAGCAGATATTCCTTTACGACCCATAATAGAATATACTAACACTCCCAACTATGCTCTTTCAAAGCATCTTACACACATTTTACGACCTCTTCAAAAATGTGATAAGCATTTTATAAAAACTCTAGTTATTTCATTCAAAAACGTAAACTTTTGACACTGGATCCTTCTGAATGTATTGTAAGCTTTGGTATAGTTTCTCTGTTTACACACAGACACCTTTTGAAGAATGCTTGACACTCCTGAACACACTCTTATCCAGTGACACATCCCTATGCAACAGAACCAATCTTAATGTAGACGAGATCATTAGAGCGATTTCCGTTTGTCTGAAGTCCACCATTTTCAGATATGATGGCACGTTGTATCAACAAACCGATGGAGTGGCATTGGGTTCACCAATTTCACCCATTGTGGCCAACATTTTTATGGAAAATCTCAAAGAGAAGATACTCAATGCCACGCCAACACCACTAAGAGCCTGATGGCATTTTGTTGACGATACGTTTGTAGTTATCAAAAAGGATTTCCTAGAACCTTTCCATAATTTCATCCACAACTTCAACAGTAACATTAAGTTTACAATGGAAAAAACAAGAAGGAAGAATTAACTTCCTAGCCTGTCAGGTGGTTACCAACGACCCGGGCCATTTCTCCGTATCCGTATGCAGAAAGCCTACGCACACTAGCAGATATTTGTCCTACTACTCCAGTCACCCCAGCAGCGTAAAAGAGACCGTAGTGGCAAATCTTCTAACCAGGGCAGATCAGTTTGTCTGAAGAAAAAAAGGACAAACAGAAGGAAGTCCAGCTGGTTATAAGGGACTTACTAGATAACGGATATCCTTCCAGGTTTTTAAGAAAAATCCGTAAAAAGCTAAGAAAGCCCACGGATTGGCTTGCGACAAGTGTTATCCCATATTGCCGCAATACATCGGAAGATATTCAACGTATTCTAAACAGATATAAAACGCAAGTGGCATTTTGGGCAACCAACACACTTCGCTCAAAGCTGATGCGACTCAAAGACAAGCGACCTACAGAGGAGCAATCCAATCTTATCCGCAAAATAAGATGTAAACAATGTCCGGCCACATACGTTGGACAAACGAGCCGACAATTGAAGCAACGTTTAGCTGAATATGATAAGAAAACTAGGAAAGCACCAAAAAATACCGAAGAACTTAGGACACTTGAAAGAGACTCAGCAGTCGCGCTACATTCTATCGCCGAAGGACACTTGACTGACTTCAAAAAAACAATTATTTTGAAACAAAATTTTCGGTCGTATAGAGAACGACTGATCACGGAGTCATTGTTCATCAACGGCGATACGAATTGCGTTAATCGATCGGACGGAGCTCCATTATCAGTCCACTGGCTTGACTTCGTTTAACCTTTCACTCACAGACACTCACAAACACACACACACACCGGTTCTTTTCACACCATAGGTTTTCACACACTCTCTAATCTCCTATCATCTATTACGTCACTTGATCATTTTTCTGATCTCTTGTTACATTCCTAATCACACACATACAAACACACACACAGTGCTTTCCTTACCCAAAGACCAATCACAAAGCCCCGGTTTTTCTATAT